ATCACAAAAACATTTCCACTTCTATATTTAAGATGGTTAGGTTGTTCAAGCATTGTAACTCATGTCTGATCTCGTTTTTTGCTTAATAATAGAGCGGTGAGTTGCTGGTTTAATAAACGAACAAAAGCCTCGACTTGGACTTTACATCTTTAGCTTGTGAAGGTAATGCTTGGTTTGTTTAATAAACTTAAAATTCTATTCGAGGAGTTTGCGAACACAAAATATTGGATTACAAACAAGTTTAGTTTGGTTGTACTATTTAAATTCCATACAAAATTAATTTTAAGAAAATTGGTTTGTTTGCAAATAAATTTGGCTCAAGTTTAATAAACAAATTTGATTTTTGGTTTGTTAAGAAAATAACTAGCTAGCTTAAGATTTTTTTTTTTTTTCTTTTTGAAGATAGAGATTTTATAAAGAGCACAAATGTGCGAAAGAAAGCATCCAAAAGCAGAATGATACAATTAAGAGTAGGGGTGTTAAAGGTCCGGTTTTAACCGAAAAACGGTCAATCCGGACCGCGGATCGGTTAAATGGTCGGTTAAAAAAGTTTTAAAAAATTCGATGGTTAATTTTTTTAAAATTCAGAATAACCGGTCCGGTTAACGGATTACCTGCGGCAAATCGTCGGTTTAACCGGACCGGTAAATATTAAAAAACTATAACAAATATGTATAGATTCAGTCATAGTGACCGATTAATACAATACATTCACTTTTACTTTTTGTTGTTTTGTTGATTTAATTTTGTAAGACATTATAACTTTTTACTTTTTTCCCACCTTCGTTTTTTCATTCTCATATTTTTCCACCTTCATTTTTTCCCATCTTCGTTTTTTTATGCTTATGGGACGAATTGTATATTTTTAATTTCATTATTGTTGTTTTTCTTAATATTTAGGCCCAAATAATCTCTTTTGGCCCAAAATTAAAAATAAAAATTAAGCCCAAAATGAAAAAATAAAAAAATAAAAATTGAAAGCCCAAAATAAAGATTTTGGATTTAACCGGTTAACCGCCAAACCGGACCGTCCAATGAGGTCTGGATTGTGGCCGGTTAAAAAATAAAATCGGTCCGGTTATGGACAAGAATAAAAATTAACCGTTAGGTCCGGCTTGGTCATGGTTTGGGCTAAAATCCGACCAATCTGGACCGTGAACACCCCTAATTAAGAGCTTAAAATTGGAATAATAGATTCGAAGATCGCCTAGAGACCGAGCCAGCACGCTAGACCAACACAACAACAACAAAAACAACTACAAAGCTCCCAACAAAGGAGAATGATCGATCTCAAAAGGATAATATTCTCAAGTTCACTGAGGCCAACTGTCTAAACTAAAAACACAAATCCTAAACAACCATTGAACAAAAATAACACCAACAGAAACTAAACTAACAAAACTAAAACAATCAATAAAGCTCTTCCCTAACAAACTAACCAAGCCCCGCACAAAGTACCAGTAGATAAAGGCCGACCATCCCCACAGCTGGACCCCAAGTCCAGTACACCACTCCCGAAACTACCTAAACGCCTAGCTGAAGCCGAGTCCCAGAGCCCGAACCTCTCCTAAGAAGTAGCCGACCCAAAGCCGGACAAACAAAGCCAGACCAGCCCACACACCACCACCCCGAAGCCGGCCATCACCACTCGCCTAGGTCCAAAGTGTCGGTCTTCCCCGTCCTGCACACCAAAGGAGCGGAGAAATGGGGGAGTCAAGCCTCGCCCCTCAACCCCAACTAAGCTTGCCTTCGACATCAGCGAGCAGCCAGGGCCACTCCCTTCCCTCAATCCCACACCACCACCGACACAACACACATACCAGAGAGGCAGAGAAATTTTTCTGCGAACGACGAGCAGCCATGGCCACACCATTTGTTCGTATACGAATAATTTAATACGTAAACTTAATTAATATGTTTGATTAACTAAAAATTTGTTCATTCAAACTCAAAAGTAAAAAAGTAGAACAAACATATTATATTTTAGATTAAAAAATATTATGTAAATATATAAAAAATAAAATAAAACTATATTAAATTAATGTTCACGAACATTATCGAACGTTCGCGAACGAGCTCGTTTTCATTAGATTATTAAACGAGTTTAATTTCTGTTTGAACTCGGTTCGATTAACAATCGAACGAACTTTTGTCAAACACGAAGGAGCACGAACCGCGAACGAGCTCGAACCAAAGTTCGATTCATTCTCTACTTTTTTGCCCCCAGTTTGGAAACATTGTTTATCCATTTTCATTCTACCTTTCGCCACGCTCCGACTGCGCGGTTCCCCGCCGCCGCAGTTTATATTCCGCAATTATTGATAACTATTTATGCTTCCCAAGAGGCCATAACCCACCTTTCCCAGTTCAAAATCCTCACTATTTCTCACAAACAAAGCTCCACTGATTCTTATAAAACCCTCTGCTTTTCTCCAATAATCCGAAAACCAAGCTAAAAAATTTTCAACAATGGCAAACAATGAACCCTTGATCATCACCGGCAAAGATGAGATGCGACGGTGGTCGAGATCCGCCAGATCTAAAGGCAGAACCATCGGATTAGTCCCCACCATGGGATACCTCCACGACGGCCACTTATCCCTCATTCACGAATCCCAAAAACACGCACATCACACAGTGGTCTCAATATCCCGGACAATTCTCCCCAAATGAGGATCTGTCGACCTACCCCTCCGATTTTCACGGCGACATTCGGAAGCTGAAGGACGTCGGCGGCGTCGACGTCGTTTTCCACCCGAAGAATCTGTACGATTAAAGGGAGGACGGTGGTTTTGGGGAGGGCACGAGGGGAGACGGCGAAACTGTGTCGTGCGTGGAGAATGGTGGGGCGGGTCACGAGACGTGGGTCAGGGTCGAGAAATTGGAGGCGGGTTTGTGCGGGAAAAGCCGGCCCGTTTTCTTTAGAGGTGTGGCGACTGTGGTTGCGAAGCTGTTTAATATCGTCGAGCCGGATGTTGCTGTGTTTGGGAAGAAGGATTACCAGCAGTGGAGGATTATACAGAGGATGGTGAGAAAATTTATGTTTGATTTTCTTATGCATTGAGCACTTGAATTTGTATGCCGTGAATATGATGGGTTTTGTGTGTAAAGTTTGGGACTTTTCTTGTGTTTTACTGATTTGTGTCTAACATATGAGGGCCGCCTTTTTGTGTTCGTAAATGGCAATTTTAGGACTGGGAAAAAAAAAAAAACACGGAAAGAACGTAGACTATATGGGGTTTGAATTTCATGCATCGATGGAGAACTTCCACAACATGTGTGCAGAACACAAGTTATTAGCCTAATCAACTTCCAGCTTTTGTGTGTAGACACTGAAAATTTCTCATTCTTGGTTTTTAGTTACTTATGCTTCAATAAATTATGTGTTCGCAATCGCTCGTATTTAACTAGATTAATTAAGCAAATGAGATATTATTTTCAATGTTGCTCTTCCTTTTTTATTTTCGTTTGAGCCGATCTATCCACAATTTGAGAATCATTGTCAAAGAGGTGCTTCGGTTTTTCTGTTGCGTTTTTCTAAACATTTATGTCTCAGGTCCGAGATCTAGATTTTGGCATAAAAGTGATTGGTTCCGATTTGGTGCGTGATGAAGATGGGCTTGCCAAGAGTTCACGTAATGTGCGACTATCGGCCTATGAAAGGGAAAAGGTAGCTTTCCCTGCTGAAAAACCCCAATGTCTTCCTTAGAAATTTTATTCTTTTTATTCAGTTTGATCAGTTCACCTTGAATCAAATTTTGTATTCTCTGTTCGGCAGGCATTGTCAATCAGTAAACACTATTGAGCGCTATATTTGCAGCAGAACACAACCAGGTAGATTTCAAAGAGCTCAGAGATTCAGTTGTTCGGGCCATACAGGAAGCTGGTGGAAAGGTTGATTTTGCAGAGGTGAGGTTTACATAATAATTACTTTTTCAACAAAATATTATTGAGTTGTCCCATATGATGGGAGAATATGTACTATCTGCTTTCTTGTTTTCTTCATAAGTTGTTGTATTTGCTTGTGTGTTTGGCTTTATCAACACTCGGTGTTTGTCTTTTTTTGGCCATCTTCTTCGAAAACATTTGAAATTTTTTAGGATTTTTGAAGATATTCTTTCGAATGAACGAATATTTGAAGATTAGTAATTTTGGTGAATGTATTTCGATATCTTTGAGCAACGAGATATATTTAATAAGCATTATCAGGGCACATTCCCATTAAATCCTCCACTAATCTTAATTGCATTTACCACCATCCTAATAAAAATAGTTTTTTTTTTTAAAAAAAAATGCTTCAGTGTTTTCTCGTTCCTATACAAAAATACTTGTTCCTATACAAAATTAATAGTATCGTTTATATAAAATTTATTATGCATATGGACGGGTGCGAGGTAATTTTTTCTAATAACTATGCCATAAGTGTAATTACATTATCCATTAAAAGCCCAACGTCAAATTATCATTTACAGCCCAAACCCTAGGCTTTTTAACGGGCATCCTTCCTCCTTTCCTGTTAAACCTCCTAAACGTTTTCTTGCTCTTAAACCTAGACCTACTCCTCTCAAGTAGATCCTTGATCGAGATTTAAACCCAGTCGCAGTAGTTAGTAGTTAGTAGGTGATCCAAGACTAGAGAAGCAATGGCGAATCTCATCCCCAACCCGGCCCTCTATCGTCTGAACCGTAATGGACCCCCACCACCTGCACCTCCACCCGAACCTCCACCCCAACCTGGACGTCAACCTCTCTAGTTAGCTCCACCTCCCCAATAGAATAGGAAGCAGAATATTCGTCTTACACCTAACAATCCTCCTCAGAATCATGGAGTAAATAATATGCTCCATTATGTAATTTTATTAAGTTTTGTGTATGCAGTGTTTTTAGATTATAATAGATTAGGTATTTGTCTTGTCTTTATAAAACAAGAAAAGATGCATAACAAATTAGGTGCTTGCAACCTATATTCAAATTTTGATTGGTTATGGCGAGGTGGTTTCAGTGGCTGGTGTACTTTTGCTTCATTATTGTCTATTCTATTATTTTTTTTGTTATCTGTTTTATTGATTGTTGTAATGCTGGGTTCTGCTGCTTGTAGCTGCCTTGTGTTTGGAGTTCATATTGTTATATGTTATTATTCTCATCTTCCTTTAGGACTAGGAGGTGAGGTATTGGTTGTGGGTTAAGGGCTATAAACATATACTAAAGTTAAGTCTTACTTTACATGAACTTGTATTGGCTCCCCACATTTCTCGCGTTTCAATTTTTCTGTCCTTACAATACTACTCGCAAAAAAAAAAAAAGGATTTTTAGCACATTTAAACTACTATTCTAGAACAAATTAATCTTTCTTTTACCTCTCCCAACCTATGTCGGGATAGATCTATCCCGGGATCAATAATCTGGTTCTCGAGTGCATAGCAACATTTGATACTAGGATAAGAAATTGTACTAGGACGTGTAAGACTAAACCTAACTGGGTATCAGCCCCAGCCGCAGACCGCACAAATTTCTTCGTCCATAATGCGTGTGATTCCAATATTTATGATGGAGATGTCGCATTTTCTTTCACTCACGCTCAAATCTGCAACTATGTGCGCTCTATCCCAGCCACGCTACTCGCTTGTCTTCGTGCCTGCTACCTGAACCTGCAGGTAGGCTTGTAAAAAAATCAAATTTTTTTTATTAGATTCGATATTCGAATTCTATATTCGTGATTCGAATTCGAAATATTCGAATTCGAATACGAATAATGTTTTATATTCGAAAGTTAAACGAATTCAAATTCGAATTTGTAGATATTCGATTCGAAATTCGAATATTCGATTCATTACCAATAATTATATAAATTTTATAAAATATATATAATATACGTTTTGTTTATTATATTTATTTATATAAATTATATATAATATACATTTTGTTTATAATATATATATTGTTATATTCCTACTATTTTTATAATATAAAAAAGTATAAACATCATAAATTAACAAATTTTCCTAAAAATAGATGAAAATAAAAATTATTTTTTGTAATTATATATATTTTTTTTAAAACGAATTTTGAATCGAATATGTTTTAATATTCTAAACGAATCGAATACGAATCAAAAAATAAGTTTGTTAACGAATCGAATACGAATTTGAATCTTCGAATATTTTAACGAATCTGAATCGAATCTCTGAGTATTCGCTTTGATTCGATTCGTTTACAACCCTACCTGTAGGTTAAATATCAAAGACCAGCTCAATACACCCAAATTCACGACGTCCGATTCCATATGCATGCATATTTCAAGCATGCGTATAATAAAAGAATTGGTTCGTCGAATACCTAACCTTGATTGCTACTGTTGTGCTTCAAGTCCAAGGTACTAAATTTAAAATTACATTGTTACGGTATTACTAAAATATCAACTAATTTTTTTATTTTTATTTTTTTGTTTTTAGTATTGGACTTCATTTTGTGCCCGGACAGAGTTATCTGTGGCATGCACTGATTGACGGCCACCCGGAACAATAATATCACATCCTCAATTAAGGTCTACGACATCAACGGTCGCGTGTTTTACTTGGATGAAGTACAAGTCTTTCTGGATGGGCAAAGAAATGTCCAGCGATCCCCGGGCATTCTTTTTTATGGATCAAGCCTCAGGATTTACACTCGTATTTCGGTGTCTGTATAGAGTAAGCAACCAAATTTCTCTAACATTGTACCATTTTTTTTACCAAACAAATTGAATTGATTATGTGTGTATGGTACATTTTTTTCTCTTTAGGGAATGATATATTGATATTGCATGTTCTTCACTTTTATTTCTATGAGATCACTAACTTCGAGTTCTTGATCATGTCCTACACCTTTTTTTCACATGGAAACAAGCAAGAAATTCTATCTAATATTCTGATTTCATAGTGCACTATCCTCATGGAAGTAGATACCTACTCCTCTCAGCGGATCCAGTCCTGCGACTGGGTTTGAATCATGGGGTAGATATCTACATTTATTAAGTTCCATGAGAATAGTACACTATGAAATCAGAGTATTAGATAGAATTTTTTGCTTGTTTCCATATCAAAAAAGCTGTAGGACATGATCAAAAACTCGAGGTTAGTGATCTCAAGAGGCATAGTGATAGAAATAGAAGTGAAGAACATGCAATGATCAATATATCATCCCCTAAAGAGAAAAAAATGTACCATACACACATAATCAATTAAATTTGTTTGGTAAAAAAAATCGGTACAATGTTAGAGAAATTTGGTTGCTTACTTTATATAGACACCGAAATACATACGAGTGTACAGCCTGAGGCTTGATCCATAGAAAAGAATGTCTGGGGATCGCTGGACATTTCCTTGCCCATCCAGAAGGACCCGTACCATCCAAGTAAAACACGCGACCGTTGATGTCGTAGACCTTAATTGAGGATGTGATATTATTGTTCCGAGGGTGGCCGCCAATCAGTGCGTGCCACGGATATCTCTGTCCGGGCACAAAATGATGTCCAATCACTGAAAATAAAAATAAAAAAATTAGTTGATATTTTAGTAATACCGTAACAATGTAATTTAAATTTTAGTACCTTGGACTTGAAGCACAACAGTAGCAATCAAGGTTAGGTATTCACGAATCCAATTCCTTTATTATACGCATGCTTGAAATATGCATGCATATGGAATCGGACGTCGTGAATTTGGGTGTATTGAGCTGGTCTTTGATATTTAACCTGCAGGTAGGGTTGTAAACTAATCGAATCAAAGCGAATACTCAGAGATTCGGATTCGTTAACAAACTTATTTTTTGATTCTTATTAAATTCGTTTAGAATATTCGAACATATTCGATTCGTTTTAAAAAAAATATATATAAATACAAAAAAATAATTTTTATTTTTCATCTATTTTTAGGAAAATTTGTTAATTTATGATGTTTATACCTTTTTATATTATAAAAATAGTAGAAATATAACAATATATATATTATAAACAAAATGTATACTATATATAATTTATATAATTATTGTTAACGAATCGAATATCTACAAATTCGAATTTGTTTAACTTTCGAATATAAAACATTATTCGTATTCGAATATCGAATCGAATGAAAAAAATTTGATTTTTTTACTAAGCCTACCTGCAGGTTCGGGCTGCAGGCACGAAGACAAGCGAGTAGCGTGGCTGGGATGGAGGGCACATAGTTGCAGATTTGAGCGTGAGTGAAAGAAAATGCGACATCTCCATCATAAATATTGGAATCACACGCATTATGGACGAAAAAATTTGTGCGGTTTGCGGCTGGGGTTGATACCCAGTTAGATTTAGCCTTACACGTCCTAGTACCATTTCTCATCCTAGTATCAAATGTTGCCATGTACTCGAGAACCAGATTATTGATCCCGGGATAGACGACCTGTATAAATTTGCAGAGAGGTACAAGAAAGATTAATTTGTTCTAGAATAGCAGTTTAAATGTGCTAAAAATCCTTTCTTTTTTTTGCGAGTAGTATTGTAAGGATAGACAAATTGAAACGCGAGAAATGTGGGGAGCCAATAACAAGTTCATGTAAAGTAAGATTTAACCGTAGTATATGTTTATAGCCCTTAATCCACAGCAAATACCTCCTAGTCCTAAAGGAAGAGGAGAATAATAACATATAACAACAT